CAATCGACTTATCACCGAGGAGCTAGAATATGACATTACCGCTATGAAGACCGAGTTTGATCGTATGTTTCTTGCATTGACAAATGAGCAGCGTCACATTTTCCTTGATATCATGAGTGCAGTTAAAGAAAATAAAGGAGGTGTCTTCTTTGTTTATGGTTATGGTGGAACTGGTAAAACTTTTTTATGGAAGACAATATCTGCCGCTATTAGAAAAGATGGTCATATTGTTCTAAATGTTGCTTCAAGTGGGATTGCTTCATTATTATTGCCCGGAGGTAGAACAGCACACTCCCGATTTATAATTCCATTTGAACTAACAGAGGATTCTGTTTGTAGAATAAATCCAGATAGTGACCTTGCAAGCTTATTGAGAAAAACCTCATTGATAATTTGGGATGAAGCTCCTATGGTCCACAAGCACGCATTTGAAGCTTTAGATCGAAGTTTGAAAGATGTATTCAAGTCTGAAAATTCTAGCAACTCAGATATTCCGTTTGGAGGGAAAGTTATTGTTTTTGGAGGAGATTTTAGACAGATCTTACCTGTTATTCCAGGTGGAAGTAGACAAAACATTGTTAATGCTTCGTTAAGTTCTTCATATTTATGGCAACATTGCAAGATCCATAAATTAACAAAAAACATGAGACTAAGTGTTGGAAGGGATCAATCTGATATAGAAAAAATCGGAGATTTTGCAAATTGGTTGTTGGATATAGGAGAAGGCAAACTTGGTGGTATCAACGATGGAGAAACGGTTATTGATATTCCAGATGATATTCTCATTAATGATGCACATGATCCTATAGGTTCATTAATCGAGTTTGTATATCCTTCGATTTTGGAAAAGTACAACAATACAAGCTATTTTCAAGAAAGAGCAATACTTGCTCCAAAGAACGAAGTGGTTCAAGAAATAAACGATCGTTTGCTATTGAAATTTCCAGGAGATGAGGTTGAATACTTAAGTTCAGATAGTATATGCCAATCTGAATTTCTCCATGATCAATTTGATGCAAATTTATATTCACCTGATGTTTTAAATGGTCTGAAAGTATCAGGTTTACCAAACCATAAGTTAGTTTTAAAAATCGGTGTTCCAGTTATGTTGCTGAGAAATATTGATCAGAAAAACGGCTTGTGTAATGGAACAAGACTCCAGGTGATTTCATTGGGCAAACGTGTTATTGAGGCACGTATCATATCTGGAACTAATATTGGAAACCACACTTTTATTCCAAGAATGTCTCTAACTCCATCAGAAAAGAAAATTCCATTCAAATTTCGAAGAAGACAGTTTCCATTGGCTGTATGTTTTGCAATGACCATTAATAAGAGTCAGGGACAGTCATTATCCAAGGTTGGTTTGTTTCTCAAACATCCCGTGTTTTCACATGGCCAATTGTATGTTGCTTTATCTAGAGTCCAAAGTAGGGACGGATTAAAATTGTTAATTTTAGATAAGGATGGTAGTCTCACAAATAAAACTTCCAATGTCGTTTATAAGGAAGTTTTTGGGAATTTATAAACAATGTTTTTCTACCATCTTTTATTTACTTTTCTACCATCTTTTATTTACTTTTCTTGTATCGTACTTCATCTATCATATTAATTAATTAATTTTTACAACTTTATTGTATTTGACTTATTCATATTAATGCTAATATCACTATTCTTCATTTTTTCTAAACTTTCATATCTTTTTTTTGTTACAAATTAAAAACTATAATTATATTTCAATTTATCACCCGTGGATTTCCACGGGTTTAAACCTAGTTTTATGATAATAAAACAGTAAAATGGTAGGTATGAATTTGATCTAATTTATTATAGTGTTAGACCGTCCGATAACTTAATTAAAAACACATCTTTACAAAATTTAGTTTGTGACAAAAAAAAAAAAAAAAACTTAAACGTACAACCAAGATTCTAAAAAACGTAAGGCGTGACTTGGCGGTGAGGTCAAAATTAAGTTATACCAAGCCTTGGCGAGCCATGACGTTTTTCAAAGCGTGACTATTTTATATACATTAAAAGAGATAAATCATATAATTATTGAATTGTATCAAATATATGAAGTTTTTAGAAGTGTTATATTAATATTTAATATAAAAAAATTAACACAAACTCAATTATTTTAGACCTGACAAAAAAAAAAAAAACTCAATTATTTTAGACCTGACAAAAAAAAAAAACAAAAACAAAAAAATTTGAAAAAATCCACGCCTTGAAAAAAACTCGCGACATAACACGAAAAAGCACGCCTTGACACGTTATTTGGGTGCCAAGCTTAACAAACCCACCTTGGACGTTTTCGTAACGGCTACACCACGCCTTGCGCCATGACACGCTTTTTAGAACCATGCGTACAACTCTAAAATATCAATTACAAAATATAGTGTTCGGAAGAAAATTGTTACGTATAAACAAAAAATTATTACGAATGAATCAACTTTAAAAAAAATCAAAATAAATTAAGGTTTGTACTATAAGTACCCTTCTTAACCAATTCTACCTCTAATATCAATCTAATCAACCTTTTACTTATGATTTGACATCGTTTTTTCTCTCTTTTTTTTTTTTTTTTTTTTTGTTTATTATTATTGTTATTATTATTATTATTATTTAAATTTTTTTTATAACCATATAAAATTCGGACAACATTATAAATTCGGCAGATATTATAAAGTTCGAATGACAATATAAAATGAAACAAAAGTAAAGTTTGTTTTCAATCCACATAACGTATCACGTAAATGTAATACCGAACCAGTTAGTATATCAATGATAAATAAAGATAAAATTTGTTTTTGTTCCGTTTTATATTGTCGTTCGGATTTTATTATGTCGTTCGAATTTTATTATGTCTTCTGAATTTTAAAATGTTGTTCGAATTTTATACGATTATTGAAATTAATAATAATAACTAGAAAAGTTACTCCCGCTATACGGGAACCAGAAGCTTTCAATATTGTTTCCGAATCGTTAAATATGACAAACATAGAAGGTGCAAGGATGAAAAGCCCGGACTTTGCCCCGGACCGTTTTTTTCATGTTTTTATGAAAAAATATAAAACTTTTGACTGCAAGGATCAGAACTTTCAAAACGGTTAAAGAATTAAAGGGGTAGGAATTAACAAATCTTTAGAAAAATGATCAAAGTTGTCAAACCGTTAAAGTTTTGTGGCCAAACTTTAAATATTAAAAGGTTCCTAAGAAATGTAAAAATATTAATTGCAAGATCCAAAAATGTAAAAATAAGTAAAGAATGAGGAACAAAGTGTAAGGACCATTTCTGCTAAAAAAATGTGCAGTTTACTATTCCTAAGCTTCATATCATTGTTGTCAAAATCGCGATCCTGAGCGTAGTATCGTACGATCCTACGATCCTAGATATGAAAAACGATCCGGATTGTAAAATGATTGTATTTGGGGTAGGATCGTAGGATCTAGATCCTACCTTCCCTAGATTTATTTATTTATTATTTTTTTTTTTGCAAATGAAATTTTTTTTTATCACTTTATATCCTTTACCCTTTACTAATTAAACATTTATCATTTTGTATTGTGATTATGACAAATATTTTGAGTTTTTTATAACTTTTGAATGAAAAATTGAATGTTTGAAATACTTTTCATGATTAAAAATTATAAAATAAAATTATATTTTATTTTGTGGGATCTTAAGATCCGGATCTTACAAACCTAAAAACGATCCTAGGTAGGATCCCGATTTGAACACCATTGCTTCCTATATATATATATATATATATATATATATATATATATATATATATATATATATATATATATATATATATATATAGTATTAAAAATTAAAAAAAACAACAAAAAACAAAAGAGGAAGTAAAAAAAAAAAAGACATAAAAGTCACATCAAGAGATGAAATTGAAAAAGAAAGGGTATTTATAGCATTTAACCTAAATTAAGAAAAAACATCATAAATGGTCCCTGTGTTTTTCCAGATTCTGAAGTTTAGTCCCCGTGGTTTAAAAATCTCATAAATGGTCCCTGTGCTTTCAAAACTTTTTACAGATGGTCCTTATTGCTAACTCCGTTAACTTTTGTCCGTTAATTGAGGGGCATTTTCGTCATTTCACACCACAGGGACCATTTATGATCTTTTCAGTTACTTTTTTTAAAAAGAAAAAAACTAAATATAATTATTTAATATATAAAATCTCTCTCTCTCTCTCTCTCTCTCTCTCTCTCTCAGATAAACAATCATAAAATGGTAGATCGTTTCTATCCAAATAAAATGTCAGAGTTCATCAAAGAAGAAGATCCACCTGAAACCACCACAAATCCCCTAACAAAGACTCTATCTCTTCCCTACAACCTATTTTCCGATCAACTCAAACGAGCAACCTTTGACCTCAAACAATTGTATTTTCTACTTCTTTATTCCCTTAATTTATGTTTTCTCCCTTTCTTCTTTGTTTTCAAAGTTACACACAGAGAAGAACATGAAACCAAGAACCACAAAGAACATGAAAGACCTACCCCTTTTCGTCTCTTTACCTGAATCAAACTTTATTTCCCTTCAATCCTCTCTTCATTCACATAAACACAACCGATTTCAGTTTGATTCAAAATTAAGGCTCTGATTCAGAAGGGCCACCTTCTCATCACGTATTTTTTAGTCGATGTATAAATTGAGGAAAAATATTTGGGGTGAATCAAAAATGATTTTGAAGATATCTTGTCTTGCAGGTCCAAATTGAGGTAAATGAACATCTCCTCCCTTAGTCCCCTCTATGCTACCTCTATTCCTGTGTTCGTGGAATCAGTGAACAAAATTAGGGGCTTGGGGCAAATTGAGGAACACAATCCAATCTCAAGGTTTTCAATGAAATGGAGAAGAACAACAATTGGATGCAGATTGAATCATATTTCAATTAGGAATACACTAAAGAACTCGGTCTACAAAAATCCTTTCGTCTTCTTCAAATGGGATTTACAAACATAGAGCTTCAAACATGCAAAATCAAATCCGTTCTCTCCATCGAGCAACCCCCAGAACTAGTCGATTGTCTCTTGACCTCTCCTTCGCTCTCTCTTCGATGAATTCGTTGCCCACTGTGCCCTTGATTTTTAGATTCGTTGATTTAACTGAAGAAGAAAAAGAAGTCATCGTTGAAGATGAGGTATCAGGGGAAGTTGAAGTTGCAGGTGTGTTCAACGGATTCCAACACAAATGTGTGTGAGAGAGAGAGAGAGAGAGAGAGAGAGAGAGAGAGAGAGAGAGAGAGAGAGAGATTTTATATATTAAATAATTATATTTAGTTTTTTTCTTTTTAAAAAAAGTAACTGAAAAGATCATAAATGGTCCCTGTGGTGTGAAATGACGAAAATGCCCCTCAATTAACGGACAAAAGTTAACGGAGTTAGCAATAAGGACCATCTGTAAAAAGTTTTGAAAGCACAAGGACCATTTATGAGATTTTTAAACCACGGGGACTAAATTTCAGAATCTGGAAAAACACAAGGACCATTTATGATGTTTTTTCCTAAATTAATTATTTTGTTTTTAAACACCTCCTTTGTAATTCTAACCTAGCGGTATTTGAGGTAAGTATTTTAGAAATAGTTTAATATATATTTATATTTTGGCCCTTAAAAAAAAGTATTTTCAAACACATCGTATCATATCCCATAAATTTATAGATTTGTAAGAAACATGATTATATAAATTGGAAAAAACTTCTAACTCACTTCCATAAATAATTCTTCAATTCTTTAACCCCGCCCCCATTCGCTCCGACCTGAAAATATTGGCGCCAAGGACTCACACCGTGCAATACGATGCAGAGCTTACTAGGGTTTCATCCTCCTCACTTCTCTGAGGTATGTTTCCTTCTCATTTATCGTGCATCTTATTGTATGGATCTCTTTTTTCGTTCTGAAAATTAGGTTTCATGCATGGTTGTAGATTTGAGTATGCGAAATATATTTCTCCTATCTTATTACAGGAAGCAGCATGGCTTCCGGGTTGGCTTCAATCTTCCTCGATAAGGGAGGCGAGCAATCAAGCATTTCAATGTTCTTCAGGGCAAAGGCTCGAGGTAGGATGTATATTTTTTCTTCTTGTTTTCCCCTTTTAGTTTTCACTTTCCTCCTTTCAATTCAGTGTAATACTTCACGATTCTCGTTAAACTGAAAACACCCACCTATACAAAACATACTTGTTCGTTTTGGTTTACTTTGACATTCTCTTATTATCTCAAATCAGAAGAAATACACTTCGTCAATCTGAATCTTCTAGGCAAGTTTTCACCTCTAGAAGTCATGTGTTTGATTAATCAGTAAAGTGGTAGGAGTTTATGTACAAATATCTGATGGAATTTTATTATTATAACGATTAGGACATTGGATGCCTTCAGCAAAACATCAATACTAGAGAAAATGAGAATCTGTCTGATAATGGTGTGTGTAAGAGTTTCCATTTATTTTTATCTGGAGAAGACAACTCAACCATGAATTTTCCTTCATGTTCTAGCAATGTAAGTTTCTATTCATCATTTTCATCTGTGTTTTACTTAAGATTATTATTTAAATTTTAACAGATTCAGTTTCACTTCTCAGCATGAAATTCAATTCCATCTTCATCTATCATCAAATGAAGAATCTCAAAATTTATCAAATCCAATTCCAAGTAAATCTCAACCACAACCTCTTCCAGTTCCAGATTCCAAAGTTACCCCTAAGGAGAACACCCAAAATCCAATCCCACAGAAGGGCAATTCAGGAATTTCCAGTCACGAACCTTTAAAGGGGCAAAATGGGAAAACCCCGAAATCTCATAAAGTTGATATCACAGATGCAGTGGAACTAGCTGTTGCAGCATCAGAAGCATTAATAATCCATGAGGTATTAAAAGATGAACCAAGTTCACAGCTTTCAACCCCTTCATCTGTTCTTGAAGCTGCAATAAGGGTAAAAAAGGCACGATTGGAGGAACTTAATGATGATTTTGAGGAAAACAATGACAATGAGTATGAAGTTGACTTTCTTTCTGATTTGGATGAGTTGACCATGGCAGAAGCATACGAAGATGTGGGATTAACAGTGAATAGTTGTGGTTATGAATCCATATCTCATGTTAAAGATAGTTATGGAACCCTAGAAGCTGAATTTGGTTCTATTTCCACAAAACAAGAGATATTATCAAAAAAAGAAATTGTTTTGGAATCTATTGAAGGTGATACACATAAAGAACATGATGCTGATCTAGGGTGTGATTTTGATCCCATTTTTAGTTGTTCTGTTGAGCAACCTGATTTTTGCACAAAAAAGGTAAATCAAAGATTTTTTTTTTTTTTTTTTTTTTTTAATATGTTTTATGTATAAATTTGTTGTTAAAGTTGAAAATTGAAATAAAAGTTTATTATGGTTAGCAGGTTGTGTTGGAAAATGAAGGCAAGATGACAAATTTGATTCAAGATAGATTTCAAAGCCGTTGGTTTGGTGGTTGGACATGTAAGGTGAGGGGTATTTTGGGAATTTCTTTTTTCTAATTTAATGGACTTAAAGAGTACAGGTTTCTTGCTAATCAGTTTTGCTTCTTGTTTTCAGAATGAAGTTGGGATTCCTTCAGTTACAGACAACAAAATCCCTGAAAAACCATTTGCTTTAAATGAAACAAGTTTTTTCTCGGAATCTGCCGATTTTGCCCCTGATATGAATTCTGCTATACAAAAACAGGACATTAATACTGTTTCTCAATCAAGCATAACACGTCCTAAAGATATAGATACACACCAGAAAACTACTGATAACGGTATTTTTTGTTCCGATATTGCCCCTGATATGCCTCCTAGTGTCTCCCCAATGGAGGACCTTTTGTGTTCTATTGTTCCTTGTAGCTTTTCTTCCGATAATACCCCTCCCCATGTTAATCTCCATAACCCAAAAAGTGTCTCATCCCAAAATACCGATTATACCCTTCATCAAGTTAATCTCAATAATCCAAAAAGTATCTTACCCCAAAATACCGATAATACCCTTCACCAAAATAATCCAAAAAGTGTCTTACCCCAAAATACCGATAATACCCTTCACCAAAATAATCCAAAAAGTGTCTTACCCCAAAATACTGATTATACACTTCACCAAGTTAATCCAAAAAGTGTCTCACCCGTAAATACTGATAATACCCTTCACCAAAATAATCCAAAAAGTGTCTCACCCCAAAATACCAATAATACCCTTCGTGAGAATATTTCAAGTCCTACTATACGAAGACACGTGTCCTCACTTAAAACTTACAGCATCTTACCACATCCCCCTTATGATCCCTACTCGGTGAACAAACAACCTACACAAGATGATGTTGAGAAAAAGACCAAATTACCCTTGGCTACTGTAAATAAAGAAAATCCAGAGTTACTTCCAACCGAGGTTTTCAGAAAGGTGAAGTCCAACATCAAAAGCTGTGTAGTTCCAATGAGAAAACGTGTCCGTTTTTCAGAACCCGAAACTATTCACACAAAAAAAACACGAGTCACATTCACATGCAACAAAACACGTTTATTTCAAGATTTTAATTTTTTAATTACGGGTTTTTCAATCAAGAAACATAAAGAAATAAAAAATCTAATTCAAAAAAACAGTGGCATAGTTTTAGATGACATTCCATCTCCTCCATCTTCAACTTCTAGAAGACAAAAAAACCCATCAAAATATCGACTTCCTGTGATTTTGAGTCCCAAAAGGCTACTCACAACAAAGTTTTTATACGGGTGTGCAGTCAACGCGTGTATTCTCAAAGTCAAATGGCTGTTTGACTCGGTCAACGAAGGTTCAATCTTACCACATAAGAAATACATGATTTTAAAAGAACATGTGATTGATTGTAGCATGATAATTGGGATTCGGATGCCAAATAGAAGATTGATTTTCCAAGATATTGCGATTATGCTTCATGGGAAACATGATTTTTGTATGAAAATGGAGAAAGTTGTGAGGCATGGAGGGGGGTTGGTGTTCAAGTCGTTTCATTGGTTGGTGAAGAGACTTGAGAGTAATAGGGTATTGATAGGGGCGATTGTTGTGGAGGGCGAAATCGGTATTTCACGTCAGTTGAAGCAATGTGCGGTGGAGCAAAAGATTCCGGTGGTGCCGTTTGATTGGATTGTGAAGAGTTTGTATGCGGGTAGGGTTGTTCCTTCACTTGAAGAATTCAAGAACACATATAGAGTTCCTTTGGAAATGAGTGAAGAAATATAAATCTCGAAATACATGGGTGTTTGTTTGTTTATTGTTATTATTATTATTTTTTAAAAATGTATTATAAGTTGTATCTTTACATGAAAGGAAAATATTGGAGATGTCCCTGAATTAGTGTTAATTAATATGTTCGCATGCATTGGTACGTATTTTTTATATATATATTTTTTAAAGGCCAACCATATATAAAAAACAAAACTAGCAAGGAGCTAGAAAAACAATTATATAAAGTCCTGAGGATTTTGAAGCCAATTTAATCAAGCAAACGCACATCTATGGTTCCAATTTGCAAACCATAAAAAACAAAAACTCTTGAATGCACCACATTATTCCTAAACCTTCGAATATACCAAATCGTAGTACATATGATCGCATCAACCATCATTTTCTTTCTTGATGACATTAAACTATTATTCATGGTATTAAACAAGTTAACAACCAAATATATACCCGGTTAATCAAGATCAAGCCAATAAAATACAGCGTTTCAAGTTCTGGCTGCCACTTCACTCCTTATGAAAAGGTGATCAAATTGTTGTTTGCCAAGGTCACAAATTGGGCACAACACGAATGGATATCCATATCTCTATTTGCTAAGTTAATCCGAGTTGGAATTCTATTCCTTAAAACCCTCCAAATAAGAATATTTACATTTTTAGGGACAAAATTCCATCCAGTTCCGATCCAAAGTCAATAAGACCACTTCATCAATCCACCTCCTTTAAGTTTCCAACCATAAATGAACCATCTTCACTAATTTCGTAGCACCACCTATCCGTTTGATGATTCCGAGAAACATTTTGAATAACTTCCATAATGGTCGAAAATTGTACAACTTCTTCACCCTTGTGATTAATATGTCTCCAAGGCCGGTTCCAATCTCCATTTACTCTTCTATCAACAATCATACATTCTTTATGTTGCTCTAACTCGAAAATTCTTGGAAATCTAGAATCCAAAGAATCTCCAATCTATCTATCAATCCAGGATTTTGTAGACATCCAATTACCAACTACTTTCTTGAAAATAAAATCAATTACTAAGCCTCAGTTTAAAAACCGAGAATTGGAAGCCAAAACACGAGACCAAGGGTCGGACCCAGTATAGCCAGAGCGATGAAACCAAAACAACTGTTTAATGATGTTAACCCAAAGAAGGTTGTCATTATATAAAAATATTCACCGCCACTTCTAAATAAGAGGAAGATTAAAGGCAATTAGACTACCAATATCCAACCCACCATGTTTTCTATAGGAAGAACAACATCCCATTTAATCCAAGGCATTTTTCGATTGTCCTCATCCCCTCCTTAAAAAAAGTTTGCACATGCCACTTCAAGAATTTTTCCAACTTGAACATGTATAAGAAATAGAGACATAAAATATATACCAAGAGACCTTAGAACAGATTTAATGAGCATCGTCTACCTCCAATAGATAGGGTTAAAACTTTCCATTTAGAAAGCTTCTTTGGAACCTGTCAATAATAACTTTACATCCTTTCACCCTAGACATGTTCCCCCTAAGGGTGTAAACGAGCCGAGTCGAGCCTGACCAAGCTCGAGCTCGGCTCGTTTAATTTTGAGGAAACTCGAGCTCGAGCTCGATCTTGATTCGAGCCTTAAAATGAAGCTCGAGCTCGGCTCGTGAACAATTTAGTGGGTTTGCGATCCTAATCGAGCCTAAACAAGCCTATATATATATATATATATATATATATATATATATATATATATATATATATATATATATATATATATATATAGGCTCGTTTAGGCTCGCGAGCCCATTAATTGAAGCTTGGCTCGAGCTCGTTTAATAAACAAGCCTTATATTTAGGCTCGAGTTCGACTTAGGCTCGTTTAATTCGATCTTGAATCGAGCTTTTAACGAGTCGATGTCGAGTATCTCACGAGTAGCTTGACTCACTTACACCCCTAATTTCCGCATAGGAAGACCCAAATACGTGAAAGGAAACTTGTCATCTCTACAACCCACCACTGAAGCAAAATGTTGTACGCCTCTATTTGAAACACATACCCCATAAAGATTCGATATATCAATGTTGATTTTCAGACTCGAAACCATGTACAAATAGAGTTGATTCCTTAAACATCAATAATAAAGATTTGAGAAATAAATCAATTCCATTTCCCTTAAAACAGTTCCCATTTTTAGAAGAGAAAAACTGAAAAAAGGGAGAAAAGGAAAATAAGAGAGCATCAAGAATTACAAAAAAAAAAAAAAAAAAAAAACGGAGAATTGATTTTTTCCCCCGCTTCGAACCCTACAAGCCGCATCCGACATATTCATCAATCACGCTTCTTTGTTGCTGCTTGCTGGTCAATTTGTAAGGATACTTCCAATATAAGATACGCTTTTCAACCTTTATATATTTGAATTCGATTCTTCCTGTTTAAAGTTCGGTACTTGTTGTTTGAACTTCGATTTTTTCACCATAATATGTTTGATCCTATGTTTACATCAATTAACTGAATTTGATTCTTTATATGTTTGCGCCAAATTAAGGTACAGTTTTCAATCTTGTTATGTTTGATTATATATGTTTACACAATACGTTTCCGTAATTTGATTCTACGTTTCATTCTATGTTTACACCATTGTAGATTTCATAATTGTTACCCTTCTAATTAACCCCCTGCATTCTGTTTCACATGGCGATTGATATCTACTGTAATACTCCATAAAAACCATTATAACTATGCATCTTTATGTGTGGATAAACCAAACGATTATTTTAACTTGAACACTCCCATGCAACTTTTATTTAGCGGAAAATTGTATAACAGGACTATAGTTTGTTTTGTTTATTATTATTATTTTTTAATAAAAGAGAATGGTATAGTATGTATTCTATTTGATCTGTATATTTATTATTTTGATTTCATTACTTTTGTTATTGCATTTTGATTCCTATCATTAATATACATGAGGTTATGGGCTTGGTTGCTTTTTGATAATTAGTTCTACTTACTTTACATTGTTTTTTCGATCCCATGAAAATCACAACATTATACTAAAATTGGAATTCAATTCCAGCGTTTGGTTTATGGGATTTGGCATATTGGAAATGTGGTTTCATGTTGTAAATAAATACACAAACTTTGATATTATCATATAACATTAACTTTAAATTGAAGTTTTTTGTTTGTTTTTTTTATTTTTTTTTATTGAATTTCTAATTAAACTTTAAAACTTAAGCCCTCACTTCAAATGGACCTAATGAAATGCAGATTTTTAGGAAGGGGTTTGCAAACTGACATAGGAGATGATTTGGGTTGAGGCATTATTGGATTTCGTTGAGACAATGAACAACATAGGAATGTAGAAAAATATTGAAGTGTGTGATATGATGAATGAAACTGAAAATATTTACGAATATTGAATTTAATTTTTTTGCACATTCATTCATGGACATATGTTTTAAATAACATTAGTTTCAATTTTATTTATGCTTGACTCTATTCGTAAATTATTCTTTTATATTAGAGCTATGTTTTTTCAATACAAGATATGAACAATTATGAAAAATTATAAACATAAAAAAGAAATAATCTGTCAAATTAAAATCTACATCATATTGGCATTTTTGAAAAAACAAAATATTATTGGAAAAGGAATAAACATTGTAAAAGTCTAAAAGAACTCAACTCCATTTTATTTATTAATACAACCAAAAAACCAAACAAGAGAAATGATTCTCAAAAATATTTCTCTAACGTATTCTTTGTTATACAAAACAGTGAAGTTAATTCTTTATCCACATTTTAATTCTTTTTCCATGTATTTTCATTCTCTACTAGTATTTCCAAACAAGAGAAATGATTCTCAATTCCTCTTCTTTATACCAAATGTGCCCTTAAGGTTTCCTTTTTATACTTACCAAAAAATCATAAGTTGTTTTTCTTATGTATTTGTATTCACGGTTCTTTATGGAAAACATTCAAGCATTTAATCAAGTTGCCAAACATATTTAATTAATTATTTCTTATTGATTAATTGGTTATATTAAATAAACACATTTTATTCAATTTATAAATAAACTTTTTTTTATTTATTTTGTCTTATTGTAACAAATTATAATCAATTATTTATCTATGTTTTAGTTGGTAGACAATATTTGAGCATTATCTTATAAAACCTTTTTATAGTTTTTAATGTGATCCTATAAGCTTATATATAATTAGCAGTAAAAGTTTACTATTTGTATTTTGCACATTTAACCAACAATATTTACGTGTTATTTTCATTCCTTATGCACATGTGTGTCTTTATTCCATTGACATGAATAATTATTATAAATTACTAAAATTTTAATTAAATTGAAATTTTATTTTCTTAAAATAACTAATATATATATATATATATATATATATATATATATATATATATATATTGTAACACCCAAAATCAGGAAGGTCAAGAAAGGAAAGAAACTCTAAGTCAAAGGGCCGACTCGTCAAGTCCAAGGAGGAACTCGGCGAGTCCGAGCGGGATCTGGGTCAACGAGTAAGTGATCGACTCGGCGAGTCGGCTAAGGGGACTCGGCGAGTCTGGTCTGAACGAAGAAAACCCTAATTCCGGGAGTTGTATCCTATATAAAGGGTGTTATGTCCCTCCCTCGGCCTCCATATCATCCTAGAGAACCGGTAAACCCTAGATTTCGTGTGAGCTTCCATCATTTGAGAGAAATAGCTTTGGAGGAAGGAAATTTTGGAAAGGAACTTGAAAATCAAGAAGGTTGCTTCAAAGGAGAGGTGTAGATCCGAGATCTACTTCAGTTTGTGTTCATCATTGGAGGTAATAAGCTGCCATTTTCCCTCCTTTGCATCTAGATCTATTTTTGTTATGAGATTTGGGGGTTTTATGGTTGTTTGAGACCTAATTCGAGTTTGGGGGCTTAGATATGTTGTTGCCACTTTAGATCTAGTGTTGGGATGGTCCAATATGTCATAAAGCATCAGAAGATGAGTAGTTGGT